AATTTTATTGTTTTTTTACACATCGCGATGCGTATAATAAATATGTAATAATTGTCGTAAAATAATACGCTACAAATTATTGACAGCTATTAAACGTATAACCTATTGCTTTCCTAATATGTCAATGACATTTGCATTCCAAATCAAATACGGTTTAGTGAATACAGGATGCCATAAAATCAATATTATTAAAAAATTCATTAAAATCCATCAAAAAATATCTGTATCGCGTGCGCGCGCGATAATAACATTTCAATTTTGGAATGAATTAAATTGCAGAATAATTAATGCTCCCTTTTTTTTTATTTAAAAGATTAAACAATTAAAAAAAACTCCAAAGTTGCAAACTTAAGTTACAAACTAAATTAAAGACTAGAATTGAATTGCAAGATTAAAGGAATTACAATGTTCTTCGTAATGTCACTTTGACTCAATTTCACGATGTCGATCGATAATTAACACTCTTACCGAATGGGACAGACCAGGCAATTAACACTACATCAGAGGATCGAGCGTCGAGTTCCAGCAACACCAGCAGCAGCTCGCCGTCCGACCTGAGGAGGCGTCTTCAAGATTTACCGTCGCCGAACGAGTTCAATCTTCTGGCCGATCGCGTGGCCGCCCTCGGTCGCCGTATTTGCCGCAAGCGCGAGCTTTTCCTTCGTCTGCAAGGAGTGGTGAATCGAATCGAGGAGAACGACGAGTGGGAAGAGAAGGAACAAAGGGCAGAGTCTGAGAGCTCCTTGGCGTCGTCCAGGCCGAAGGACGCCCGTGCCCGGAGAAGGGCGCGTATTCGCCTGGAAAGTTCGCCCCGCCGCGACGACAAGGCGATGGTGATTTCGCAAGCTGGCGATCCTACCGCTTCTTCCAAAATCAACGACCACGCCGACAAATCGAATTGCGCCGAGTTTCCCGTAGATCGACCGGCTCGTGATGACGATCACTTGCGGCTGCCCGCGATCGAGATGAGAAAGCAACCGCGATCCTCTTCTGCGTCCGAACCGTCTTCCACGCGTCTCTTTCATCGCAATAATCATGGATCGCGCGGTGTTAAAACCAATGCAGCTTTTCACAGCTACCGAAGCTTCACGTCTCGCGACAGCGCGTCGAGATCGGCCAATCCGCCATCGGTTTCGCCGTTTTCTCTCAGCAGCGCACGGCCGAGGAAGTTTGGAGGATATCGTCCGTCTCCCGGCGTGGTTGCGAAGAATCTAAGCTCCGGCAGCGAATCGGAATCCGCCAATGAGGCGAGTCGCAGATTCTGCTCCGCGCGAAAAGTCAATAATCCGACCGCGACTTTGGAATTATCCTCGCCGGAGTCCTCCAAGGCCGCTGTCATCAACGGATCCGCCAAGAAGATGCCCGTCGTGTCCGCGAGAAGCGACATCACGAAGTCGGCATTGCCGAATCTTCTGCCTTCGACGCGATCGCTTGACAACGACGATCGCCGGACTTTGCAAGTCACGCCGGGAAGCTGCTCCGAGCGAGTAAATCGCGATGGATCCGCAATAAAAATCTCTGACGAACCGAAGAAAAGCACTCATGATGTTCCTGAAAAAATTATTTGTATGGAACGAGTGAGTCGCGATAAATTTGCAACGAAAACTTCCGGCAAATTTCAGCAGGATGAAGACACGCGTGATCGAAAAGAAGAGATGCCACAAAATACATCGACTTTCTCCGCAAGAAATTTCATGTCAGAATCGGTGGAATTTGCAACGAATATTTGTAACGAACATCAAGGTGGACCTGCGACGAGAGATTATAATGAGTTTAAGCCGGCCGAATCAGAAGATGAAAATAAGCATGGCGAGAAAGAAGAAGCGGAAAATTATCGATCTATCGCACCGAAAATATATCATGACGACATTAAAGGTCAATTCGATTTTAATTGTCTGACGGAGCGGTGTAATCTTGAAGGCAGTTCTCTAGAAAACATCGATGAAGAAATTCTCGACACTGTAAAATGGGATCTATTGACAAATATCTGCGCAAAAAAATCTGTCAATGCTTCGCATTTAACTGAAAGGGTAAAAAGTGACGTAATGGAAGACGCCTTATCGTCCCAAACTTCGGAACAAATTGAGAGCGAAGATCAGAGTCGGTCATCCTGCACAAAAATGTATTTACCGAGAGAGACGCTCTCGAGCAGAAGATCCAAGAACGACACCGACGCGTCGGACAAATGCGATCAGGAAATTGCAATGGTGACGAGCGTTCCTACGCTCGCGTTAAATTCGCAGGATATTTCTTACTCCACGTCGGCAGACAGTCGAGAATGTTCCGCTACGCGACCCCTCGACCCTCACGCGCTGATCAAAGCTTTGTCAGATGTATCTTTGAGACAGGAAAGACAGGGGGAAAGTGTTTCAAGAAAACGCGAGGATTTTTATCGGCGGAATAAGGATACGATTGACGCAGCGAACGGAGCTTCGAATTTTCCCACGAAAGGAGAGACGTGGCGCGTACCGAGAACCTCAGAGTCGCCTAGACAACCGCTGTCGCGCGTTCCTTCCAGGATACCCATCAGGATTTCCAATAGCAGAATCATGTCGCCCACAAGCGTCGAAAAACTATCGTGTTGTCAGAAAAATTTGGAGAATTTAAGAATTGCAAATTATGAGGAAGTGAACTGGAGAAACGAGAGTATCGAAGATACGATTGTTCAAGCGCGTTCACGCATCTTCGCGCCGGACGACGAAGCAGCGGAATACGAAGTCAACGAGGAAGATTACGAGCCTGGAAGCTTAACTTTCTCAAATCTGCGAAGCCCTCAGAGTGCTTCGTTCGACACTTACGGCAAGACGCGACGTTTGCCTGAGAGCGGCCCCAGCGGAACAAGCTGTCCGTCTGTGTTTTTCAACAAAACAGCTTACTCTGGCGGCCGAGATTATGCGAAGATCGATGACGATGTGCGATCGAGGTCGAATTATAGCACGTCTCGAAAGAGCGCGGAGACTCTAGACGTCACGAGTGCTACGGAATCGCCGTGCTTGTTGAAATACAAGCGCAATTTGATTCCGAAAGAATTTTTTAGAGACGTCGAGGAGAATGTCACTTGGAGAACGGAGGACGAGTGCCCGTCGATCAACGATGAAGAAAATCCGGAAGACGCGAAGGATAAAACTCATTACGAATCGTGCGGCAGCGAACCGGAAGAGCTATACTCGCAGACACGAGAACGCTTCAGATTGGCAAGTGAAGGAATGCATAATTTATCTTCGTCCAAAACTCAGCTGGATTTGTCATCAGAAATTAAGAGAATCGTTGCGAAACAACGAGCTGGCGACGATCCTGAATTTAACATCGGCAAGAAGTCAAGTTTCGATTACAATCTGGAATCGGAAAAAATTGCGGAATCGGAGAATTTGATGTCTCAAGTGCACAGGACGCCGGAGATCCCCAACTTCGTCGCGAGGATGTCTTCGTCGACGCTGAACTTGAATTGCGAGTCGAAGAGGAAGAAGAAGAGCCAAGAGCGTTTTCCCTTCACGATTTCCGAAGCGTCAGGCGCGCTTTCGACCGAGCACAAGGACACGAGCGATTGCCAGTTGCCCGATAAAGACTTCCGTCGCACGAAAGTGAACGAACAGCTGGAGGAGAGCACTGTGCATCAGCTGAAAATGCATCCCAGCATAACGAGACTAGCCACTTCGGGTTTGGACGATACCGTAGCGGACATCCTGTGCTGCGTTGCGGAGCAGAAGGAGGACGGAACATCTTCGAAATCGAGAATAAAGGCATTCATGCGAATATTTTCGAAATCGAAATTGAAGAAAAATCTGAAGCAGCCAAATGATAACAAGACCGTGGAACCGGCGAAGATTATTTATGAGAATCGAGCTTGCCAAGTGGATTCCAGAGCGAACAGCTGCTCGGGCGATTCATCGGTGGAGGAAGTTCGTAGAATAAATTTTAAATCCGCACGCGATTGTCGGACCGGTAGTATTACGAGATCGAACCCTACGTTCGTTTCTTCAGAGCACACCCTGAAGACGGAAAACCTCGAAGCGATCGCTCAGGAATATCCTCACAGGAGATACGATCGGGACGATCTGTGGGTTCATGATGTCAAGAATCCTTCCATTGATGAAGAGCAAGGCAGCAAAACAATGCAAGAAAAAAATGAAATTGAAGGAAACGATAATTTGAAGGAAAGTCCTTCCAAAGATCGATATTCGATTTTTCTCGCGAAGAATTTCCAGTTTGACAATCTGTCGGCGTCAAATAGTAATTCAAAAAAGCAACACGACGTGATTTCTGATTGCGTAACACCATCGGATGGGAAAAATGAAGAAAACATGGATCGAAAGCTTCCGACAAGCTTTTCTGTTCCTGAAGTCGAGGAAATCGAAGAAGATCTGACCAGTTGCTTCTGCTGGAAATTATGTCGTATAATCGCGCCGTCGAAGAATCGATCGTTAATAAAAGAGCAAGTTACGTCTCCGAGAATAAAGAGATCCGGTTCTCCACTGCGAAAAAGAAAGAAATGATTTTTGTACGAGTTCGTAAAAATATTGGAAAGTATCAACGATCGATACTTTTCCTCAGCTGGTGATTGAGAAATCAGTACACTTGAGGACGGCACCAGGCACAAGCAACGGTGTAGGATCTTCATTGTCGACTGAAGAGAAATATCAGCTGTCGATACTCGTTTTTACTCGTTTGATATTACGTAGAAAAAAAATTGCCGCAATTCTCACATTCATTTTATCATTTTTGTACATATAGAATTAAAGTTGACATTAGAACGTAGCGGTTAGATTTATAAATAATTTTATATAATTAATAATTAATGTATACTTTTCTGATTTGTGAAAATATTGTTTCAGTTTACAAAAATCCACTAATTACACATACAATTGGTAAAAAAATACATAGACCAATCATTAGTTGAAATATTTTAAATGAATGGAACACATGGAAATCAGAAAACATGAAAAATAATCACGGGGATAGAGAATTGAGAATTGCGGTGGCACACACAATCGTAGCACATCGTCGATTCATGTTCTTTATTTATTCGCCGTTCGTACATATTTCATTTGTTCAATAATATTGTTGTTGCACGCTTACTTCCGTACGTCATGTTAATACATGAGTAAGAGTCTTTGCCGAAGATGCGCAGTTATCGCAGTTTATCGCCTTAATAAAACGTTTCTTCGCTACGCATTAACTTATTATCATTATTATCGTTATCATTATAGAAAAAATAAGTCTTTAAATAATCACATAAGAGTCGTCGAGAGCCTTTTGTGGAGGAAAAAGGATTGTTGGATGCGGAGGGGGTATGGTGGGACAGGAAGGATCAGGAGGAGACGTGCATGTATCATTCATACATGCGTGTATGTGGTATGTGTGTGTGTGTGTGTCGAATACGTACATATACATTCGCACGACACGTTATGCAGCGCATACATATGTGTGACTGTGTCTATGTTTGTGTCGGTGTGCGCGCAAGAATATGCATGACGCATATGCAACAAAGGGACGGAGGAGGCACAGGTTGGGAATGGAAGGGTGATGGTGTGGGTGTAGGGAGGCTGTCGCTTGAGAAGTAACGCTGTTTGGCCCTATACGATACTTGCTTTCCAACTCCCTCGACACAACGACGCCACGCGCGCTATAAGCCTAGAAAAAGATCTATCTACCGAGAAGACCAGTCGTTTTTTTTTTTTTTCGCATTTTAAGACTACACATGAGGAAACGCGATTACGCGTTTATTCCGCTACCGAGAGGAGGGCTTTAATCGATCCGATCAGGGGAATGGTATTGGGGTGGGGTGACAGGGGGGAGGGGGGGGGGGAAAGGGCGGTCGACGGCCGCCGAGTAAGAGCGTAAAGTAAGAAAATCGACGCTAAAGGCAATGTGTTTCCGCGATCTACCTCGAGCGCTCCCGTTCTATTCCTCTTTCTCTTCCTCTCGATCTACCTTTCTTCCCCTCTCTCTCTCTCTCTTCTTCTTTCCGCCATTACGCCGAGAAAGGAAGGGAAGCTTCGCCTGCTAGCACACGCTTCGCATACAATCGCGCACCTCCACGTACTCGCGCGACCGCATACGTGCTACGTACGTTGACACGATACGCATGCGTGCTCGACGTCAATCGTAACACCGCGACGCTCTCTCGCCTTTTCGTCCGCATCGCCTACCTTCGAATAAGTGACTTGTCAAGCGTGATGCGATACTAGCCCGAGCGCGTTTAACCGAGCGATCGGTGCGACTCAGCCGGAAAAATTGACGGCAGCAAAAGAGCAAGAATTCCTTGCGGACAAACTCCACACACTGTAATCTCGATTGAAAAACGTGGGAAAAAAATGTAATCGAAACAAAAGAAAATTGTTCTGTTCCCTTCGATTCGACGGGACGGAGAGATTGCGGCATCTCCGACAGAAAGGACATCGTGAGAATGATCAGTGTGATACATATACATACGCTCGCACACCGTGCTAGTCAACCTCTCTCTCTCTCTCTCTCTTTCTTTCTTTCTCTTCGCGGACGTCGAGCTAATTCAAGAGCCGCGCGATTTTAATCATCTAATGAAGCACGAGGAGGAACATGCTCGAGCGATTTACGTGCGGCGCAATTATATCTGTGGCCGGTTATCCCGATCGCATTTCAAAGGTCGCAGTCGCGGCTTATCGGAGCGCGATAGCGAACGTGAACGAATTACGCTTCTAACAAGATTGTACGATTTGGCAACAATGAGCAATCATGAATATATGCGATAAGCGGACGAATTTTCATTTCCCGTAGCGCTCGAGGCGCGACCCGGCGATCTCTTGCTTCTTTTTACGCTTCGGTTGCTCGCTTCGAGATTCGCAACGGAACGTAAGAGACTTGCTCAGTTCTCTTTCGTTCGTTCTACATCGTCGTCGCCGTCGTCGTCGTCATCATTGAGGCTCGCACTGCCGGGACGGGGCTTCTCGTCGGGGAAACGACGTCACAAGGGGGGTGGAATGGAGAACTCCCTCCGCACGTAGAACAGAATGTAAGGCTTACATTTAGCGACAGCGTCGGTGGTCGCCGGCCGTACGGAGCTGTCGTTAAAGTGGAACCACTGGCCGTCATGCACAGCGAAGGCAGTGTAATGTCCAGTACCAGCACTAAAAAATATAGTTTTACAATGTAGATACAAAATTCCGCGCGTCTGCGTCTTTATATTTGTCAGTACTAACCTAATAAACATCTTTCCACAATAAAATAATAAAGACTTTTTTCTTAGGACTACATAAATGTATAATTACTCGAAATTTCAAGCGTATATCCAAACATCGAAACATCCAACCGTAGATTGCAAAATTCAATGAACGATAACGCGATATAAATTTGAATACATTCACAAGAATATTTAATCTGATCTTTTCAAAAGCCAAATCTGCTCGAAAAAATATGTATACATTTAAATAATCACAACAAAATAGAAAGATACAAGAGGTTTTTTTGAACTATTCGAAACAACGCTTATGTTATCTTATCGTATATCGACGTCATACGACTATTAGTGTACTGTGAAAAATTTCGATGTTTCCTCGTGACAAGACATTTCTAATCAGAAGCGTCATTTAGATCGAGCATACCCAGAACCATGGTGTACGATAACGGCAGCCAAGTCGTAAAGATGACTATTCTGAGCGCCCAATCTCGTCCCGGTCACGCCGCGCACGGTGAACGCGGACATGTCGAGAGACTCCATAGGGAAATCCACCTGCGTGTCCACCTTCGAGCGATAGGAATTGCACCACCTAAATCTTTTAATGTGAAGGCACAACACCTGGAAAGAGCGAGCGCAACTTGTGAGCATCGATCACTCGTATTCTACGTCAGAGAGGCATTTCTCTGCTCGATCAAAGTTCCCTTTTCGGGTCACGTGTATTCGTGCACGTTATATCGACCGAGACACGCACGCTTGCCGATGCGCTACCGTTCAGCAAAATTAGAGCAACGTCAAAAAATCGATGCATGTCTCAGCAGGCATTAAAAATGTGAAACGCGACATCAAAGATAGTAATTTTTTTCCAATAGGAAAGTTTGGAATTTTTCAAATTACAATTTCTCAACAGTAAACCTCGAATTTAAGGTTTTTTTTACGCGATTTTGTTAGACGTCAATAGCTTATCCTCGAGTGATACTCACGTTAGGCAGCCTGTGTATCCAGAACCTCTTGGTGGACCTCTGCTTGCCCATGCAGTTGTCGCAGAAGTAGAGTTCGCTATCGGCCAGCTCCTCGACTTTGAAGAATCTCGTCAGACTATACGTCAGACTACACACCTCCTCCTGCTCCTTCGTCCTGCTTCTCTGCAGCCTGTCCGGTATGTCCAGCGAGAGATCCTGGAAGGGCTCGTGCGTCTTCGAGTCCGTGCGACAGTTCATGCAGTGGACCTGCGCGAGGAAACGCGATCCATAATTTGTCCGCGCTTCTCCCAAGAAGAAAACGAAGAAGAAACGTGACTTTGGCAAGCGACATCGGTCTCTCGAGAGCGCAGAAATTCCCTCTTGCCGGAGAGGCTACAAGGACGTTTGTTTCGCGCGCAATCGGAGACCGTCTCCTTTCCTCCCTCTCTCTTCTCTTTCTCTCTGTCTAGAATCGGATCGGTCAACTTACCACGCTGAGAAGAGTGCCTCCAAACACGGCGGTGACGATGCTCTGCTTGCCGCGCAGTCCCAGGGGCTCGTGTCCCAGCCTGGGCAGCAGCTGCAGCAGCTCGGTGTGCAGCCGGTCGAGCATGTAGGTGAGAAACTCGTGGGCGTCCTGCTGCTGGTAGCCGCGAAATCTCGGCACGACCTTCCAGATGGCCAGGAACAGGCACTCGGGCGATATGGCCTGGCCGTTGGAGCCACCCAGGCTCAGACCGAGCAGCACCTTTCGCAGCTCCTCGGCGAGTAACGCGTCGCTCATGGACATCTCCTTGGCGCGGCCGGGCGTGACGATGCGACCGCGATGGGTCGGCGGTCCCGTGGACTCGTCGAACGCGATGCCCTCCAGACACGGCATCTGCGTGAGGTACTCGCAGAAGTGGCTGATGTTGTTGAACGACTGCAGCACCACGTTCATGAAGCAGGTGTTACCGAGGTTCCTCAGGCCGACGACCTTCTTCTCTTTGGTACTCTTGGAGCTGCGACGCTTGGCCGGCCGGTTGTCCGCGCTGCTGGCGTCCAGCGAGTGTAGCCTCTTGCGCGCCGTCCTCGGCCGTAGGTTTCTCACAACCACCTCCGCCTTCCATATCGCGTCCGGATCGTCGTTGTCGTGGTCGACGTCGCCGCCGCTGTCGCGCGTCCTCGACGACGGCGTCGTGGACGGCGACGTGCTCCAGCTCTCGTCATTCTCCTTGTGCTCGTCTTTGTGGAAGGTGACGCGCCGTATCTTCTCGATCTGCCCGCTCGTCGTGTCGTTCACCACGTACTCGTCGCAGGTGTAACTAAAAGAAACAGAGCACAATGCAGTTTTTCCGTGTAAGAATCGATGTAACGTTAGTGAGATTCCGTGAAACGCGCGAAAGTAATCCATTATTTCATTTCGTAACATTATCAATTTGATGAACGATAAAAGCTAGGATTTTCCTTCATTTAGAACTTGAATTAATTCATAAAGAAATAATTGGCACATTATTGTATGGAAAATTTAGCTCTCCGAAATTACATCGGTTTTAAAGAGGGGAAGACGCGCAAATAGTAGCATTACGAAGGCGGTGAAAGCGCAGGAGGAAAGAGCGGAGGAGACTCACCAGAATACTGCCAGGCTCTCACAGTCTATGCACACGCAGTGCTGAGTATTAGTCTCGTAGTGCTGCAACGCGTGGCCCGCCACGTATCGTCCGCAGTGCACGGCCCCGCAGTGCAGACACAGCCAGGGACTTTTCTCGGTGCCGCACACTATGCACGATAATAAACACGAAAGGTGAGTGACAATCGTAAAACAAGCACAATCAATGCTATATTATTAATAAATAAAACATAGAAATCGCCACTTCGTCACACTTGGGGAATAAATCCCGTGGCTTTGTCTAAATGTGTTTCAGTTGCGCCGTAAATTGTAATGGAAAAGAGATTATTGTTGTTATCAAGCTGAATGAATTCAGATACTTCGTTCATGCGTTCACGAAACACTTGTACTTATTACATGTTTTCGAAAATGTAAACAACTGAAGCTAGTGGATTAAAAGATATTAATGAAAAACAGATGGAAGTACAGACTCGGTTAGTTTACAATACTTCATTCATTTCATATCAATTGATATGCATTTGTGTAATGGCAGCGCTCTAAAATATTCTAAGAAAAATTGTAACATGCAAAAAAGACATTAATAGCAATCATATGCATTCTCGTCGTCAGCAGCTTCATACCGCACGGTTAACGCTAAACTCATTTTTATCACGTGGCTATCTCATTTTTATCACGATTGAATTTAATCTCCGCACAGATAAGCATCCGACATCGGATGGCCAGATTTTAGCGCTAAACATCACGCTGAATAGACATGTATTTCAGCTGTCACATTCTTCTCGGGATAATTTTCAATAATTTGGCATCGACAACCGTCCAGTCGCAGAGAGTAATATATCTGGGTGGTTGCGAAATTATTGAGTCGGCACCGCCGTGTCGTTTCGGCTCATCTCAGCTTACGTAATTCTCGAGAGAGCGCGTAAAAGCGGAGTGCGGTGGCGAGAAGGGGTTCGACACACCCCCTTCGCAGTTCGATCGATCGCGAAATGTCTCGGAATTTCATCGGGCTTCGGATTCCACCGGCGATTCGTGCTTTTTTTCCGATCGCTCGAAATCTCGGCCCGAAAACAGGACGTTAATCAAAGCGCCAAGCGAGAAACAGAGTGAAATTTCGAGTTATTCAATGATATAGCAATGTTCCGGAAAAAATTGGACGCGAGCACGCTGACAATAATAAATAATTTCGCACCAGAAATGATCTTGATCATACCTGCGTCTTTCGCGGGATATTCCGCAAAAGAAAAGTCCCCCTGCCGCGTTTAGGATTAGGAAAAAAGAAAACAATGATTATAATCTTTATTCTTCGGATGAACTGTAAGAACAAATTATTGTAAACTATAAGATTGTTGCAGAACTGTGAGAATGGGAGTGTATTCGCAATCTCGAATCGAACTGATCTCTAGACATCGGAAGGCGTGAATCCGTCATTGCTTTACACATGCAAAGCATATGCAGAACGGATTCACGAAATCGCGTCGGGACTCGATGCCGCGACTTCTTTCTTATACGAACTCTTTTCAAAGCGGCCGATTATCTAGCATTCGCGAACGGTGGCGTAATTTTATACAGCGTAGAACAGGAGAAGGAGACACTCCCAGTGTGTGGAGGTTAAAAAAACGCGAAAAAGTGACACGACAGCGCCAAAAGTACGGGGCACGGAAATCCGATCTCGTCGAAGGTCGTTTCTATCTCGAGAGTCGTGTTCGTTTTCGGTGTTGAAGTCTTAGAACACACCGTGTGCTCTATCGGCACGTTTTAATCAGCGAGTCGTTGCTACGTGAACGTCGTGACAAAGAATGGGAAGCGACGAAACCAAGTAAGTTCATTTAACGATAAAATCTTGCTTGCAAAGACAAATCCTTCTTGGAAATTGTTAAAGCAAAGTATTTTTTTTTTTGCAACTAATCGACGTTGATCTCTTTACACACATATTTTCTCATTAAAAAATATTAATAAATGTGTTTACAAGACAAACATTTCCTTTATCTTCAATGTTTACGAAAGAATCATAATTATTATATAAATTTTTATTATCTAAATATATTGTTAGAAGAATTCTTTTCCAAGATTATCTTAGAATTGTTGAGATCGAAAACAAAGCAAATTTTTACGAATTAACACTCACACAGATAAATTTATAATTATCTTGGGTGTGGCTGGTATAAAATGTAAATTGTTGAATGAATAATGTTTAATGCTCATTGCTCAATGACTGCTCAATGCTAAAGATTATAAAGACGGATAGGTGGATAGATGGAAAAAATATAATCTAGAAAGAGACAGTTTACCAACTGAAATGAATGAACTAAATTGTAAATACAAATCGATTGATATTATTCAGATTGTCTGATCGAAACTGTGATTCCGATATTTCTCGTTGAAATACGAACTCTAAGAAAGAGTTGTTTAGCACCATTACCGCTGATGTCTGCTGGAAAATAAATCGTCGTTGCTGAAACAATGCGTGTGGCACGGGATATCGCCAGCACAGCGGTGAATGTTCAATGCGCGTCGTCTCTAGATAACGGACGGCATAACAAGACATGCTATCGGCCGAAAAATGCATAAACTTTTACAGCCGACCGTATACATGGCAATGTTCATACAGCACATTCGTTCATTCATTCATTCAGCCCGTCTGCTCAATGAAATGATCTAGTAGATCCTCGCGCGCACACAAATGTTCATCGTGGATCGTTAGAGTAACAGTATTGCAAGCGTAGTGTCTGCCACGATAATACCGACGTCTGACAAGAGGGAAGTGATTAAATAGCAAAAATCTCACTGTTTATTGAAGATCAAATACACTTTCATCAGCGTCTTTATTCGAGAGTTAAGAATACAGATGTTTATTATTGTACATTAAAGAGAAGCAAGAAATATATATAGCATTTTTTTTTTTTAATATTCGAAGAAAAGAATTGATATTAAAATTTTGTATTAAAATCAAGTTTATATAATTTTGAGACATACTGTACGGAATCGTTTTGTATAGAACAATTGAAGCCAAATAAGAATTTCTCACGTTTAAGACGCAGTTAAATTTATGTTAAAAAAATAATTATTTTTTTGTCCGCAATAACATATTCAAAATGTCGCCACATATTTCTTGACAATCATTGTAGATCATCTACAAAACAGACGAAAAAAAAAGGTGAAGAGGTGAACAGGAAAAAAACATATGTAACACGCGAGGATGACGTATGCGCAAACACACATTTCGCACAGTTTTTCGATCGCAAATCCTCGGCGAGAATCGACAGCATGTCGGTGATTCAACTTCGCGACTTATTCTCGGGAGTTACATCAGCGTGTGAAATTAAAGGAGCGAGGTATTGGAACGGACAGGCGTCAGCGAATGGTGAGATTGAGAATTCTGGTCGCCGGAGAATCGATGATCGGAAAAACTACATCGATCGTCTAATAGCGGAATACTACTGCGAGGTACAAGAGCGAAGAAATACTCGCGTATTCTGAAGAAACGATTGAAACAGCTTTCCCTCCTCCCCCCCCCCCCCTTCACTTTCCGTTTGATTCCACGCCTACGAGACACGACGACGTCGTTGTTAAAGTTGTTATCAAGAGAATTGACGTATTGTCTCGTGAAGAGAACGATGGGAGGAATTTTGCTGAGAGGAAGGATTCGGAGTACCGATATCTTGGATATTAATTGGACGCGAAATATCGCAATTCGGTCACTGCAAATTCGAAGTCGAATCATTATCATATTAATTTGAATTCAATTTAACATGGAATTATAATTTTAAGTAAAATATGCGAAAGCGCTCCATGTTGAATTATATCAGATGCAAATAGAGTTTCAAAAGATTATCGCGACTTAAATAAAATATAGCAAAAATAATATTCGTCTCTCTCTCTCTCTCTC